TTTTTTTTTTTTGGTAGAGATAAGATCTCACTATGTTGCCTAGGCTGGTTTCAAGCTCCTGGGCTCAAACAATCCTGCCACCATGGCTACCCAGAGTGTTGGGGTTACAGGCATGAGCCACCAAGTCCAGCATCTCTTTTCCAAAAAATATTTTTATTAAAATAAGTTATAAAAAATTATTTTGAAAACTCACACACATACACAAGGTATACATTAAAGGTATATATTAAAGAAAACAATTTTAAGTTGGGAGGATATAAGATATTTTTCATCCTTAACTGGGTATTATGCAAAGCAGCTCAGTAAATAGCTTAAAATTAGTTATAACTAGGAATAAACACATGCTCTCTTCTTATTTGAAACTCCTTTCTAGCACAGACTGTTTTTAAGATAAAAATCTTTAAATTTTTAGATAAAATAAGCAGCTATGAAGCTCTCTAGGTACTTCTATACAAGCCTTAAACATATGTATGTGTGTGTATGTGTATATATATATATATATATATATATATAGTTTGGCCACTTGAAATATCACTAGGATAAAGCTGTGACGGATAAGGTTCAATGTTGTACCAAAGAAATGTGTGAAAGGGTAAAAAAAATTACTGGGGGTCCTGGCCAGGACACCCTTCAGAATTACCTATGCCTTCAGTCTTTTTGAGCAATTTTACAACTTTATAAGTTAAGAAAAACTGTGAGTAATGACAATGATTCTTGTTTATAAAGACATAACTACATTTTGCCTAGTTAAGTTACAACTGATCATTGTCTGGTGGATACTGGTTTTGCATCTATTGTGAATTTGTTTTGGCATTCCTGATTGCCTATAGGTAGATGATAGATAGATATAGATGGATGGCTGGAGAGATGATAGACAGATAGATGGATACATGGTCTTTGAATTATCACTACTGGTTTCTTTATTAAAGAGCTAAATATAATATTTGGCACGTACTCATTTTATATTTGTATGGGTCAGAGTTTTAGTTCTTAAAAACATCCTTTGACAGCTAGTGAAATTTAAATTCACTAAATATAACCTAAAATATTCTAAGTCGATATTAATTTTCAAATCTCTCACTTTCCTAAGTTTAGTCAAAATTAAAAAACAAACAAACAAACAAACCCCACCTGGGCAACTTGGCGAGACCTTGTCTCTACAATAAATCAAAAATTAGCTGGGCATGGTAACACATGCCTGTAGTTCCAGCTACTTGGAAGGCTGAGGCCAAAGGATCGCTGGAGCCCAGCAGGTCGAGGCTGCAGTGGCCAGGAGCATGCCACTGCACTCCAGTCTGGGTGACAGAATGAGACTGCAACTCAAAAAAATAAAAATAAAGTAAATTGAAATTAAATTAAAAAAAAAAAATCAATTAGCCAGGCATGGTGGAGTGTGCCTGTAGTTCCAGTTACTCAGGAGGTTGAGATGAAAGGATCACCTGAGCCCAGGAGTTTGAGTCTGTAGTCAGCTGTGATCGTGCCACTGTGTCCAGCCTGGGTGACAGAATGAGACCCTGACAACACACACACACACACACACACACACACACACACACACACACACACACGTACACACAGACCACCAAAAAACCCCATCTTCATCATAAAACAATAATTTATTTTGCATTTGTTTGAGAAAGTTTTGTCTTAAATGTGTCCCAAGAATTACTTTCTGATATATTTCTTTTTAAAAAATTTTAAGTATGTGGGGTACAATTCAGGATTAGGTAGATAAGTGACCATTGTACAGGTGTGGTAGAGTACATGTTTAAAACATAAAGTTTCTTTCTGGTGGAGTCCTAATGGCCTTTTCCACGCAGATGCCCACCGAGACCTAGAGGCCCTTTCTCACCAAGTTTGCGTTTCTCAGGCATTTGCACCGCAACCACTCTCCTTCAGAAACTTTCTGCTCCAGGTGCAGACACATCCCTCACTTCCTTTCTCCCCAGCAGCGAGACCGTCTTCCCCCACCTGCAATGGCCTCCCCTTGTCTCTCTGCTTTTACAAATTCAGATCAACAGTTGTCCTTGCCCTACTTCTATGTTTTGTAATAATGCAATGGCACGCTTTTGTGAGTCCCTAGACGGTGTGTTCTTAGAGGATCAAGAATACCTTATTCATTTTTGTGTGACCGGGCAGGGGGAATTAAAGTGAATGAACATTTTGGCAGAGCTAAGCTCTTTGAGGGTTTTGATAAGGTGCAGGAAATGCTACCCTAAGAGGGGGCATTTGGACGTACTGCGTACTTTAAGCTGAAAAAAACCAAGAGACCCGCAGAAGCAGAAAGAACTCTCTGAACTTCTCCTGCCCGGCGCTCTCTTTTTTTTTTTGAGTTGGAGTCTCACTCGGTCACCCAGACTGGAGGGCAGTGGCCGCTCCCGGCCACCGCAGCCTCGACCTGCCGGGCTCCGGCGATCCTTCCGCCTCAGCCTTCCGAGGAGCCGGAATTACAGGCATGCGCTACCACGCCTGGCTGATTTTTTTTGATTTATTGTAGAGATGAGGTCTCGCTGCCCAGGCGGGTCTCGAACCCGCGGGCTCAGGCCATCCACTCACCTCAGCCGCCCAAAGGCGCGGGATGACAGGCTGAGCCACCGAGCCCGGCTCCGACTCTCTTTTAAAGATGCTGCTGAGATGATGTCCTGCTTGATACTCGTTGGGAAAGAATGTCTCAGAGGCCAAGGAGAGTCTGGACAAGCAGGCCCAGCCGGATTTCCCGTTGACCGCCACTGGGTCACACTCCCTTCCTGTCCAACCAGACTTCGGCACAGCTCTCCATTTGTTAACAAAACTAAACATAAGCGTACACGGGGTTCCCTGGGAGTTTGAGTCTTCGTTTCTGAAGGCTCTCAAGTCATGTAGAATTCTGAATAAATAAATGTGTCCTGCTTTTTTCTTGTTAATCTGTCTTTGTTGTAGGATTGTCGGCCGTGAGCCTTACAATGGGTGAGGAAAAAAATATTTTCTTCTCTCTAGTTTCCTAAATGATACTCATCTATTCATCTACCAGAAACTTTCATTCTGTCTCTCGACAGTGCCTGTGTCATTATTTAACTCTGGTAATCTTATTGCCTTCTGCCATGTCTCCCTCACAGATTTTCAGTTTCTTGGGCCAAATGATCGGTATGTTCCCACATCACCTGTGATAGGAATCTCCAAGAGCTTGAAGTGAATTTGGATGATTTGAATGGAACATAAATACTATAGAAACTTCAGTGATCACAGAGAGACCAAAAAAAAAAAAAAAAATGCGTAGGGCAAATTTATTGCCATGAATTAAGCTCCATGGTAAGAAGTCTACTTAATTAAATGACACTGAAGCTATTTCCATAGCTCAGTTAATTGAAATTTTACTGTGTATTTAATACTTCTGATTACATACTTTCAACATGCAGACATTTACAAAAATATGCATTGTTTCTTATCTCAGTTGCTTAAGTATCAAGTGCAGATACATAAAAAACACTTCTTAAGGGTTATCACAGGACTTAAATGGGCTTATATACAACCATTACTAATTGTGAATTTAATCTATTTGCCTCCAAAAATATTTGTTGGATAGGTTTGCTGAGTATTGTGCCGAACACTGAAATGGTAAGATGGCCCAAAGTATGTTGTTGCCAAAGACTTCGTGAGCCAATCATGACACAGGTCCTCTTGTGATAAATGCTGGAACTGAGATTTAATAAAGTGCTACGGAAGCAGGACAACGTTGACAAGATTCATTCCGACGGGCAGGGCAGCTGGTGCCAGAGTAAGAGGGAAAACCTCATTTGATGCCGTGCTCGGTGGCTCAGCCTGTCATCCCAGCACCTTGGGAGGCCAAGGTGAGTGGATTGCCTGAGCCCGCGGGTTCGAGACCCACCCCGGCAACTTGGTGAGACCACGTCTCTACAATCAATCAAAAATTAGCTGGGTGCGGTGGCGTGCACCTGTCGTTCGGCTATTTGGAAGGCTGAGGCGGAAGGATCGCCAGACCCCAGCGGGTCAACACTGGGGTGGCCATGTGTGTGCCCCTGCACTCCAGCCTGGGCGACAGAGTGAGACGCCGACTCAAAAAAAAGAAAAAGAAAAAGGAAACCTCATCGGAGCAGGTTCCTCAAGGTGCATGGCCGTCACATTCCCGTCTGCACAATAGCACGGTGGCCTGTGTTGCTGGCAATCCTTGGGCAACAGGAACTGATGGACTCAGCGTGCCCTTGAGGAAAAGGGGACGGCGCCAGTAGAGTCATGGGACAAGAAAGTACAAGTCAGGTAAGGGGTGGGAGTAGGTGAGTCCGTCCGGAGGAGAGAGAGCCGTGAGGGAAGAAACGGGAAGGCCCCAGCAAAAACCTCAGCCTGAGATGAGTCTGGGCCCGACAGGGCAGAGCTGCTGTGTGCAAGCCACTAGGAGCAGATGGGATTTGATGGCAAGTCTTCAGCTGGAACGGGGAATGGCGTGATCAGAACTTTATCTCCAAGATGGCTGAGGTTTGTCGCCTAGAGGACAGACGTGGCCTGAAGACAGAATGGAGAATGGAGAGGGAGAGCGCGAGGGGAAGACTCACTCAAGTCTTCGATTATGGAGTCTGGATTAGGATAGGAGAGGTGGGATTGAAAAGGAAGCATCCTTCTGAGATGCCTTTCAGAAGCAGAGTGTGTATGAGAGATACCAGAGGTCGGCAACAGGGGAGATCGAACGGCTGTAGATGGAGGTTTCTAGCACTCGGCAAGAGGCCAATGGTGATGTCATGTACGATCACAAAAATGGCTAATAATTGAGCAGATTTTGTCAGATGAAGATGGGAGGCAGAAACAGAGTTATTCTGTTGTCTAATCCTTGGCAAGTTATTAGTACCTAACTTGTCCTTTTGTTTCTTTATTTCCATTTTCCGAAGTAGACTGTGTTATGCTATAATCAAAATACCACTTATTAGATCATAACACATAGTATGCAGCATTCACAAGTCATTGACATGCAATTGACTTTACAGTTTCTATTCTATCTACATTGTACCTACCCGACTTCCTGCATTTGTTTGAGTAAATGCTTTCGATATTTTTCTGTTCTTCGTCTTTGCTGAACAACCATTCTTTTCTCCCTTAGGATAGCTTCATTGTTCTTCAGTTTTTCGACTTTAAACATTCCTCTAGTCAAAAAAATACGTTCGTTATTTATGTTCTGAACTAATAAACGCTCTTCCGTCTTTTGGGTTTTTCCCTCTAGAAACAGAGCTCTTCTCTCTCTAACTTTTTCAAGGTAGTGGAATCTGTCCTGCTGAAGTTGCTGTAAACCCTTCTGAATTGTCTCCTTGTTTTTTTCAATTAGCTTTTGTGCAGCATCTCTTTTCTTGTTCAAATTCTCCTGAACAGCTAGGCAAACTCTTCCTTGGGCAGTTTGCGCCATGGCTACAGTCGTTGCTTTTTCTTTAAGGCATTCCTGCTTCTTCTGTTCTGCGTAATATTTATCGATATCACTAAGGGTTCGGAGTTTCATGCCAGCTCTGTGTGTTGTAAAAAAGTCTTTTCTTAGACGCTGCTCCAGCAGTGTATCTTTTTTAATGATGAGTTTTGGATAAGTCACAGAAAATGTCTGGGCATATTCAGGACAAGAATCATATTTCTTCTCTTTCACTACTGCTGCATACTTCAATGAGCCTGAAGTATGGATGGGTAGTTTGGACACTGATATCCGAAAACTAGTATCCAATTCTTCGTCCTCAGTTTCATCTTCAGACTTCTTCTGACCTACATCACACAGCAGACAAATATCATACATTAAACAGGAGCTAAGCACATTTATTTTCTGTCCAAATTGCTTTGAAAGCTATATTAATACATCTAACAAGAAGCTGTTCTTTACTTTACTCAAAACATTTTCCAAAACTCCCTTTCTACTTGTGATTTAATAGTAGTTTTGGAAGATCACTATTAAAACATTTAAACGACCGTGTTCGGTGGCTCAGCCTGTCATCCCAGCACTTTGGGAGGCCGAGGCGAGTGGATTGCCTGAGACAGCCAGTTCGAGACCCGCCCAGGCAACTTGGCAAGATCTCATCTCTACAATCAATCAAAAAATTAGCCAGGCATAGTAGCATACGCCTATAGTTCCGGCAACTTGGAAGGCTGAGGCGGAAGGATGGCCGGAGCCCAGTAGGTCCACGCTGGGTGGCCATGAGTGTGCCACTGCACTCCAGTCTGGGCAACAGAGTGAGACTCCAACTCAAAAAAAAAAAAAATTTAAACACAGAAATGCACTAAATATAAATCGGTTATTTTCTGCCATTATTTCTCATAATTATTTAACTTGCAGTGACTCAATGGTATCATCTTCTCTTATACCTAGTATTTAATCACACACATTATTTTTTGATATGGCTTGCTAAAAGAAAAACTTTTGACAAGCCAAACTTAAGAGAGTTTAATTGAGCAAAGAGCAAGTCATGGATTGGGTAGCTCCCAGAAGCAGGGTGGGATCCAGAGGCTCTGCTTCAAGGCTGTGGCCAGGGAGTCTCTGCAGACAGAAGAGGAAGTGACATGCAGAAGCAGCTTGATGGGCTTCGGCTCAGCATGTGTGGTCTGTGGACATGGCCTGATCAGCTGGAGACTGATAGGCTGGGCTCGGTTGCTGTGATTGGCTGTAAATCAACTATATGCTAAAAATATGGCCCCCAGATAGGCTTTCGGCTTGTTTACACACTAAGTTAGGCTGCAGATCATTGTATAAGGACTTAAGGTACAGAGGCAGCCCTAGGCCAAACTACATTTAATTGAACACGCTGTTATTTTTCTTATATTTGCAAAGGGCATTGCAATTTGATATGTCTTTTTTTTTTTTTTTTAACTCTGGTGGAAACTAATGGCTATCATCAAAATTATTTTCCTCTTCTTTGAACAATGCAACTAAACCTCTCGACTTTCTTTGTTTCCTGTGTGTGACCAGGAGCCGAGGCCTTTCGAGTGGAGTGTGAGCTGAAGTGCAACGCATCCCTTCTCGTCCAAGGTTTTAGCGAAGCAGTGAGCCTCTTCTGTGTGTTCTTTCTTCATCAGACCACTACACAGAGATGAGGGTGAAGCCCTCGAAGATGGAACCACAAGATAGAAGGAGCTGGGACTGCTGCAGAATCACTGGTGAAAAACTATGCAACCTCCTGACCTAACCCTAACCCTAACCCTAACTCTAACCCTTAACTGTACCCCACAATTTTAAAATAAAAAATATGTTAAAAAAAAAAGAAAGAAAAGAAAAACTACGCACAGACCAGGTTTATCCAACTTGGACACCATGGAGCTGGAAATAAATGGCAACTATGTTTGAATCACATATGTTTCTAGGCCTCTTTGTTACAATAGCCAACCTAATTATACTGTTGAACTTGAATCATACTGTTGTTCACATATTTTTTGACAAGTCTATTGATGAATTCAGGATCAGGCACAAACCCAGGTATCAAAGTTGTGCTTTTTAATCTCAGAAAAAATGTTTCCTGATTCCTTGTACCTATTAAAATTACATCACTGCTAACTCTCGGCTATAAGGATTTTATCTTCTCTACAAGATTCCCTTAATGTCTTCATGTGTCAAAATCCAAATCTAATGACGGTGGTTTTGCGGAAGTTAAGGTGGCCATGAGGAAGGTCAGGGTCTGTGGTCAAGAAAGGAAAGAATTGAATAGGTGGGATTCTCACTAGAAATCACAGGAATATCAACATTAAACAAGTAGCAAAGACTACAGTTAAGTAGGAAATTAAGTGTAGCACATAAAAAAGGGCATCCATCAGGATACAAAGTATCCAGCAATAAATATTACACGTTTAGATCCAAGGCCAGGCCCTAGTGACACAGAGGGATAAAAGCCAGAGCCTCATCATTTGGTGAACATCGTCCCCTTAGCACTTTTAAAAGTCCCTGAATTTCCTTCTCTGCTTCCAGAATCTCTGTTTCATGACATCACTCTTTGCTGTAATATCTACCTTCCTAAAATAGGATTCTAATCATATTGTGTCTTACACCCAAACAGAGGAAACCAAAGCCTTCACAGTTTCTCATTTACAGGATGAAGAATAGTTTCAACTTTTAGCTTAGGATTAAAGATTACAGAAAAAGAGTTCCGTGTTTTCCTCATACATGCACTATGTCATATCAAGTTGGGTCTTCGCCTGGTTTTTTTTATACGGTTGTTGTTGTTGTTGTTTCCCAGTATACCGTCTTCCCTACCTACAACGATTCACATTCTACACCTTCTTCAAGACCTTTTCACATGTCATTTTTTCTTATTCTTCAGACAAGCACTGATATCTTCTTGTAAACTCTCATACCCATTTCTCCTTATAGAATTACCACATCCCACTGATCCTGAGGCTCTGTGCTGTAGTTCATAGTTATGGCCACAAGCTAGATAGAAGCTCCTTGGAAATAAGGTTCTACTCCTTTGGCCTTTGACTTTATATTCCCCGCCTCTAACCTAGCATTTTGCAGAGTCAAATGTGCAGAGAGATTAATTTAATTAAATAGTAGATGCCCAGTAAGTATATGTGTTGGAAGAATGAATAGACAAATGGAAGAGCGAGTCTGCTATTCAAGAGCAAAAGCCTAGAGTTTGGAGATCTGAAAATGGGAGAACTATGTTGTAATCAATATCATTAATCAATCATTAAACTAAATGTTAATGACCTAAACATTCAAGTAAAAAAAAAAAGATGATCAGAATGAGATTATCAGAATGAAATTAAATAGCAAGATTTTATAAATATTGCTTTAAAGAAATGTGCTGTTAACAAAAAGATATAGACAGGATGAAAGTAGATTGTGGGGAAAAAATATAAACAATACTCAAATGGCTGATACTAATATAGATAAAACAAAGTCTTAGAAATAGAGGGACATTTGATAATAATAAGGGGTCAGTTAATCAGAAAGAAATGCCAATCAAATGTTTATGCACCTTACAATGGAGACTTTAAATATGTGAAGCAAAAATAAACAGAATTAGATAATTCAATGATAGAGATATATACTTCTTCTTGGTGATTGATAGGCCTAATAAAAAATATGCAACAACACTGAGTATCTCAGAATTGCTATCAAACTTCTTGACCTAAGTGATGTTTCTAGAACGTAACACCCCGTAAATACAGAATGCAGTTTATTTTTAACTGTACTCAGTATGTGTACTAATAAATTTATAATTTCCATATTTAGGCCACATACTATGGTATAAAACAAATATTGATAAATGTGAAAAAATTAAAATTATACAAACTATATTGCCAGACCACATATTCTGTTGAACTGCACCAGAAATCAATAACAAGAGAAAACCCCAAATATTTGGATATTAAGCAATGTAATGATAAATAATCCATTACACAGAGATGAAATTATAAGGAACATTTTTAAAGGTTTAAAAGTTAAATAATTATGAAAATGAAATACACCAAAATTTGGGAGATGCAGCTAAAGCAGTGATCACAGCTTTAAATTCCTTGAGAAGTCAAGTAAGTTGCCCAAGTGACCATATTATTATGTATGTCTTTTTTTCCCTCTGTGATGCTAAGTTTAAAAATCACCTTTAGCAAGCTTCCTGTCATCACACAAAAAGAGTATTATGGACTGAATGTGATTCACATATTGAAATTCGTATCCATTCATATTCACATATTGAAATTGCAACCTCCCAAGGTGATGTATTTGAGGCAGCACCTTTGGGGGGTGATTGGGTCATAAAGATGGAGCCCTCATCAACAGAATCTGTACCCTAATAAAAGAGGTCTGAGAGCGAGCCTTCACCCACATCACCAGGTGAGGACATAGCCAAAAGGCACCATCTATAAATCAGAAAGCGGGCTGTCGACAGACAGCAGAGCTGCTAGGCCCTTGGCCTTGGACTTCTCAGCCTCCAGCCTTAGGGAAGGGATTAAGGTTAAATGAGGTCATTAGGGTAAGGCCCTGATTCAATACAATCCGGCTTTTTATAAGAAGAAACATCAGGTGGCTCGCACTCTGTCCCTCTGTCTCTGTCTCTGTCTCTGTCTCTCTCTCTCTCTCTCTCTCTCTCTGAACACATACCAATCAAAGGTCATACATGCACAACACAAATGGTGACCTTCTACAAGCCAGGCAGCAGCCCTCACTAGAAGCTGAAGCTGACCACGCTGGCATCCCCAGAACTGGAAGAAAGTGAGTTTCTATTGCTTAAGCCACCCTGTCTGTAGTATTTTGTCATGCCAGCTTAAGCAGACTAATACAAAAGGAGTCTCCTTTCTTCTGGATCTCTAAGCAGAGTTCCCCACTGGTGTGCTGTGGCAATCTCGAGTGCTATTAGTGGGTAAGAACAGAGACACTGCCTGCCCTGGGAGGGAGTGGGGCGGTCACAGCCTCTAGGATCCTCTTTGACAACTTCATTTAAAACCTCTGGTGTTCCGAAGGGGCCTGATGCACTGTTCTGCAGTCAGGGTAATGGGGAGATCAGGAGGTATTCCATCACTTGGAAACGGGCTTAACCAGTGAGTGACAGACAGTGTGAGTGTCTGTCTTCTGCGGACAAGAGACTCGTGAAGCAGGTGCTTGAAAGAGTGGCACACGGTCTGAGGTGTAGAGGAACCTGAAGGGGGCTCCCAAATCCAGACCCCACATACCAGGGTGGACCCCCCAAAACCCAGAGTTATCTTTCGGAGGGGGGCCCCCTGTGATACAGGTTTCCCCCACTGGTAAGTGGCATCGGTGTACCTGCTAGTGTTTTTGTAAA